CATAATATTTCTGAAACTAGGTAGTTATGAGCAAGACCAACGTGTATTTTTTGTTGTTATTTTGTTTTTGTATATTTTTTTGGGGGGGGGGGAGGGAATAGTGGGGGTTAATTTTTGACAAAATATGTGTCTGGGTTTTTCGATTTGAGGAAAAATGATTTGAAAATCAGAGAAAGCAGAGATGGATTGTGAACTAAAATGTCAATTCTTTTTTGATATTTTTGGTGGAAAATGCTGAGCTTTTTGCTTGAGCATTCTCAGAAAATATATATATATATATATGTATTTACTTGTAAAATTAAAAGAAAAAAAACAAACAGATTTACCTTTTCCTTGAAAAATAATGACACCTACATTATTCATCCTAATCGGGGCATTACATAAATTGTGCTTTTTGATAAACTGGTACTGGTATCTTTTTTCCATTTTTCAACTGTTTTTGGAGAAACAGTTACTACATCAGTATCACACCAATGACTGGATTTTCCTTATTGGTCATGTTAAATGAATTTGGTCATGTAAACATTTTCTCAGTATTGACAACTGCAATGAAAGTTGATTAGTTGATTTCAGGTTCAGTAAAAGCAGTTATAGTATATCAAGGTTAATAGGAGACCTGAATCAACCTGGATGTCATTGTTAGAGTATCAATATCACTGATACAGTATTTAAAGACCGTCTTACAATCGCTTTTGCATATATGGCTTGTATTGTCCTGTCTGAAACATTCCTAATCACAGTGATTCTTCAGGTGTTAATCACTACCAGAATTTTGTGAGCTCTAGCGAAGTTCCTATCATGACAGTAAAAACCTGAAAAAATGTTCAGCTATAGTCACCTACTGTACACAGTCAATAAAATTTTACGTGGTACAGATTGAGCTCTAGTTACGTGACGCCATATTTCCTACCCTTTTTGTTATAGGGCAGAGATGCATTGCCATATCATTAACACTGTAAATGAAGACGTCATATATGAGACCATTAAAGCAAGCTAAGCATTAAATAGGGATTTTACTACTTCTTTAAAGTTTTCTGTCTTTATTGTGAGGTAGCAGAGAAAAATCAGCTGTTTCGTCTAGGATGTGCTGCTGATCTCTCAGAAGAACTTGTGTTTCTGCCTATTATGGATCTGCATGTGGTGTTAAAATAAGACAAATCTCAACACCTATATTTTCTCAAGCTGTTAGACAGAGATAGGCACTGGCTTGACTGATTGTTCACGTATCAATGGCAAGATATACGACTGTTCTGTGTGCTTATCTGAGAGCATGCAGTGCATTCCTCAGCTTGATTATTAATGTCCTGAATGAAATGGTACATTGGTAGCAGAGAAAAACCCTTGCTGGGAGGGAACAGCATGATTCAGTCTGCTATAAAAGCTTTGGGAAGCCAGTATCCCTTTACAATTGAGTGCAGCTGAAGTGCAAAGCCAAACCTTTTTATTCATTTGCTTTCAATTTTATTAAAAACATCTAGTGTAATTTCTGGCTTGTCTTCCAGTAGGTTTTTTTTTTTGTTTGTTTGTTTGTTTTTTCTTGCTACTACTTATATATTCAGAACAAATATAACAACATAAAAGTAAGGACAAGGCAGTTTGAAGTTACCCATGGAATTTCTACTTCCACCTTAGGCAACAACAGAGAAAGCACCCTGTAAAACTTCCCATTCCTGTAAATGCCTGAACTCATTCATGTGCTGAGTATCCTGAAAATATCTGGAGCATAAACTTCCACACATGCTTAAAAGTGCTCCCAAACAGATCCAATAAGGATCTGTTTTACGACTATGTTCTGAAATTCAAAATGTAGATATGTCTCTGTCTAAGCTTCTACTCTGCTTATTGTGCAAGTTCCCAATCGCAAACTACATTCAAGAAGTTCAAGGGAAAATTCTGGTGCCCTGAGTGAAGTTCACCAAATCTAGCAGCTACTATTCAGTATGGAGGAACATTTTCAGACACTTTGCATGTTAGAAGGATATGGTGCAGTTTAAGAACCTGTTGATTCTCTTCTTAGTGTGAAAATTACAATGAGCCTACCACTTTCAGCATCCAAAATATTTAATTATGGGATGATGCTCTCCCTCCAGCTTCAACAGACAGATACAGGAGTAGCATAAAACTGAAATGAAAGGAGACTAGCAGAAGTTTGACGTCTTGCAAGTTGGAAAATACAAACACATTGTCTAATCTATATTCTTCTGGGATTCTTTTTTTTTTTTTTTTTTTTTTTACTCAGCATTTATCTAATATGAAACATGAAAATATTCAGAAGTAAGAAAACAGAAGCTATGGTTTCCTTCCTCCTAGGAAAATATCCTAATCACAGGACAACAAAAACAGGTTATTCTTCCTACCTTTGGTTTTCTTAGGAATGGAAATTTTCTCAGACCATATGTTGCCAGCTTTGTAGGGGATACATTTATCACAGGGACAGAAAATGTGTGATTGAGGGAAAAAAACACTGAATGGAGCACATGGGAAATTATACATGCTATTGCTACTTGGAGGAGATAGAAGAAGACTTTGACATCTTCATAATGTTGTCTTACTATCATTACCATTAGGAATTACACAGATATGAGAGGTCAAAACACATTTTTATTTTTCTTATACTGAGAATAATGGCTGCATCTTTGACAAGGAATTCCCCATCTCAAGAATTTAAGAGATGAGGAGAATGAAAAATACAGAAATAAAGAAGGAAGATTTTAGTGAATTTAAGAGAAATAGAAATTAAAGAAGAAAATCGTCTATTGTAAAAATTGCAGGTAGAAGAAAGATGCATTGTATTGCTTGTTTCTTCTTATGAATCCATTCTCACTTAGGATATGATCTTTTTTAATAACAATGTGATACTTATTTATTCATAAACGTTTGAATAACTGTTTTTCAGGTACCTCTAGGAAAGTTTACAAAATTTGTCCTAATTCTCATCATATTCATGGAAACATGTTTTTTTTATTTTTTTTCCTTCTGTGTTAATATATATATTTAGCATTCATTCATTATTTTTTAGCTTTTTGCAGTATTTTTATTTTTTTTCCCAAATCAGAATAGAATTCTCCTGTATGTCACAGTCAGATTTACAGTGTTTAGATGCAGTAAACACACAAGATCTTGTTCATCAGATATGATTAGAAAGAGAGAGGTGGGACTTGATTCAAAAGTAGGTTGCCTTTCCTGTTAATTTTGTATTATTGTTTAAATAAAGATGGTCAGTTTTTCAGTTTTTAAAAGTACTAGGCCTATATTTATCTGAATGTCATCCAAGTTACTTTTGTTTTAGCATCTGAAGTATTGTTAACGTTGGCTACTGATTATGTATAATCTTATATGCTCAATCAGGCTGGATCATTTCCTGATATAGCCATATTTTTCTTACACTTGTCTCTTCCATCAATGTCTCATTTTCAGTTTTAGATTACTAATATTTAAGTAATTACTTGTCATGTCTCATCTCACTGGCTAGTACTTGTGCTTTTAAGTTAATATGAACTGAGCCTCTGTCTCTTGGGCTCTCCCTTGGAATTTAAGAGCTCATCTGCAGGAAAAAAGTTAACACCTGTACTTCCTCCTGAAATGGGAAACAGCCTGGAAGAAGTAGAAGGTTTGCAAAACTGAAAAGCCTTTTTATGTTTAATAATATCTGAAAGGGAAGGAGTTAATAACTAAATACACATTGCTTTAGAAATGGATTATCCAGTTGGGTGCCCAACAAGACTATTTACTAACTGAGGTAGTTTGCAAAGTTCAGTCTTAATCAGCTCCTGTACATTCAGATGCTGAGAACTTCCTGATGAGAAAGCAGTATAGTGTTGAATAAGATTTTTTTTTGATAATACAAAGCCAGGTAGCAACATGATTACTTTCAAAAATAAATGTGCACACACTAAGAGAAAGTGAATGACAAACATTTATTGCACTGATGCAATGCCTGATTTGTCCTTGTATGATAATCAGTGTCTGTCCTCCACATTATTATTCACAGATTCTGTTAGCATGAGGACAGAAGAGGCCATACTGATGCTGACCTTTTTGCTGAGACATTTCATGACACTATAGTAAGGGCATATCTTTAGGTTACTTTTACTGTCACCTTATCTTTAGCCTTTCCAGACCCATGAAATTGTTACCCCGAAGCATGTGTTAATATCCATTTCATGGACAATGACGTCTCATGACAAAATGAGAAGGGCTGAAGTACGGCACTGTTCAAAGATCTTGTTTGGTTCATTTAAGATGAAGTCTTGCTCAGAAACATTCTAGATATTTCCTGTCATTTGGGGCATGTCCTACTCTGGCAGTATACTTGGCCAATCCTTTTGCTTTGTGATGGAGCTTTATGTAGAGTATAGTTGATTCCTCTGTTGAGAATGAGGCTAACATATACATGCAACTCAGTGCAGATGATGAAAATTTGAATCTTTGGTCAACATATTTATCAGTTCAGGCACACAATCATGCTAAAATGTCTATACATCTGCATTTTAGAGGCAGTAATATCTTGTGCTGCATTTCCAATGAATTTTCAGTTCATTATAGCTGCATAGTAAGTCTAGGAACAATAGAATACAAGACTCCAGAAATCTTGCCCTTGCACATCTGGAAGCGGTAAATTCAGTCCTTTTTAACTATGTAACCTGTTTAACTATGTAAAATAATTACATATTCTTCATCCCTATTCTATTTTGCAATAACGTGGTTATTTTATATTGTCTTTTATTCCCAATAGTAAAGTAAATGTTGTAAAACCAAACAAAAAAACAGCACAAAACATTTTCCTTAAGGTAAGTTTGATTAAAATATTAACTATTAAAATATTAAAATATTGTTAGCTTATAGTTTGATTCAAACCTCACTGAAATCATGAGATATTTTGCATTAGTTGCACTGTATCAGGCTTATTAAGCTACCAATCATTACAAATGTTCCTGTATGCTATTTTGGCTTAATAGATTTTTTTTTTTTTTTCCCTTTCTCCTCTCCCTCACTACCAGGAGGTATTTTTGAGTGTGTGGAATCTGGTCCAATGGGAGCAGAAGAATTAGCCTTCAGATTTGCTGTGAACACAATCAACAGAAACAGAACTCTTCTGCCGAACACCACATTAACATATGACACCCAAAAGATAAATCTCTATGACAGTTTTGAAGCATCCAAAAAAGGTAACCTTTTGCATATTTAATTACTTTACTTAGCAGATGACTCCCTTGCTTTACCTACTTGAAAAATTGGCTGTCCATAAAACCATATACAATGACATTGTACAAGGTTGTGCCTCACATCAAAGAAAGGTTTTAAAGCCTTTTGAAGACTGTCATGGTAACTATTTGAAAACTTAATATGTCAGCTTTTCTCCCACTATTTCTTTATATGAAATCTTTACAAAAGCTATTTCTTTAGATGTTTAAAATTGCAAATCATCTTTTTTTCTTTTTTTTTTTTTTAATTATTATTTTTTTGAGCTTTGTGATGAGGATGTTTTTGAGATCGGCTCCTCTGGAATTAGAAAACACTACCACCAGACTTTTCCTGTAAAATGCCAGCTGCTCCCAACTTCCAGTGAGCTTGGAAGAGGAAGGAAGTTCAGCCCACAGAACTAGTTATTCAGTGGTATAATCAAGACTATATGCCATTAGGCCTATAGTGGCTTATTTCAGAATTGTTCGTCATGTAACAGAACCCTTTTGTACAGGTGCAAATGTCAATGTGTTTTACTTGAGCTGCATTGCATAAGCTGTAATGTTTCAGTGACTTCCTCACCCATGTAGGAGTTATCCCTGTGTTAGGCTTTCCCTGAACATAAAGTACTTCTTAACACCAGAAGTGAACATTTTATAGATGGGAATATGATATAGTGTTTTCAATATTACCAGCAAAACTTAATCTGAGGCCATGAGGTAAATAAAATCGGGATCTTAAGTTTCCATCTGCTTCCAACATTTTTAGAGGAAAGCCTACAAAGAAAGCTCACTCCTTCTGCTCCAAATCTAGATGTCAACTTTTATGACTTCATGGCTAAAATTTCATTTCCAGATATTCAACAGGGTTCTAATTCCATTTTAAGTATTTCATCACTTAAACTACATCTCTGCTAATATCTTTAGCGTATGTATGTCTTGCATACTTAATCAGCTGTGTTTTTCAAAGGAGAGCAAGCAGTTATAGTATTGCACATTTTATATAAGCTTAAAAATTAGGTCTGTTCTTTACCATGTTGTTACCAAGTGAACATCCAGACCTCAGCTCAGAAGTTTTCTCCAAACTATAAACAATTTTCTTAAAAAAAAAATAAAATAAAAGTGAACGCTTCCTAAATTTTCAAATCTTTGCTTCTCACAAAAATTGTTTTGAGGTTGCTTTACATTCTAGTCTACAACATTGTGATGCCACATGCAAGTTGTACTCCATCATTGCCATGCTCTAGAAAGTACAAAACGTAGTAAATTCTATATGCACTTTATAGGTGAAAATACAAAGATGTGATGACAGAACTTAGTAGGACTGATTTTTGCACTGTATTACATATTCTTTAACAACCTTTTTTTTTTTTTTTTTTTTTTTTTTAATAAATTGTTGAGCCAGTTTTATATGAATGTTATAATTAACAAGAAAATAAGGTTAAAAGGATAAGAGGTCAACCTTATGGCAGGTTTCAACCTTAAGTCTGCCAAGTGATCTAGTCCACAACATGTCATACCCTGTGAAGACTTTATGCAATACAGAATTTTTGGTGCTAAGTAGAATTAAAACATTTATAGCTACATTAGAAATGCTACTTGGGAGAAGCTGCTGTGTCAAAATATGCATAAAGTACAACTTTAAAGTGACATATAATACTGATTAAAATCAGTCTAGAAACAATGAGAAATATTTTTTTCTTTTTTTTTTTTTATTGCAACATGCAGAGTTAATCTTGCTAACCTATTTTTCCTGTTTATTAGTCAAATTAACCATTCTAATATAAGTCTATCTCTTCTTTGCAGAAGAGATTGTGAGAAATAGGGTGAACTAGCCTTCTAATGCATATTTTTTGAATTGTTATTTCAATGTATTTCAATGTTTTGGATGATGGGTTAAAGAAGGTTTTGAGAGAACTCCTTCTATCTCAGCCAACAGTGAATGAATGGGTTGATCCTTAATTCTGGCCTCTCCTTTCTCTTTTCCTCCCCATCTCCCAAATTCAACTGCTTCCTGACTCCAGTGCATTCTGTCTAGTGCAATTTAATGACATAGTTTCTCTTCATTCCTGAGGGAGGATGTAAGGAGTGGAGATACTTGTTCTGGGTTATATTGAATAAGTCTTTCTGGAGATGACAACACTACTTCTAGTCCTTACTTGGGGTAAGGCTTGAAGGCTCCAAGCTCCAGCCATAATACTGTGTTGCTAGTTCTTGATAGAATAGAATAGTTCCAGTTAGAATGACAAAATGTCATTGATTGGATATATTGAATAGATTGGATATATTCATTGTTCCCACTTGCATCTTGCATGAGAATGCAAGTCTTTATTTGTAACTAGGCTGTATCAAAATCTGTGTAATCTTCCAGTGCTAATAGCTTTTTGCCTCATCAATTCACAATACAGCCAACTACATTTGTGCTGACAGGTGCTTTAGTTTGGAACCAAAGGCTAAAGGTTAACATAAAATGGTTCATTTTATTATGATGGCTCCAACGCAGAGTTTTAACAATGAGGTTTAAGCATTTGACTCATTTTGTGGTTCATGATTATGTCCATTAGTGAGCAGGCAGGCACTGCATCAAAAATAGCCTGTTTAGACCTCTTAGTAACACATACTTTTGAAGTTGAATACAAATGAAATATTAATGGATTTTTAAAGGTACTATACCAAAGAGCAACCTGAAGGCAAGATGATATTTCCAAGATACTATTTCAGTGAAGAATAATGTAAATGCAAACAAAATATCTCTCAATGCAGTACAAAAATTGGTATGCATCTGATGGAGCCAGTGCCGTATTAAATCACGTGTGAAAGCATTGCATTATTCAAATCTCAGAAACAGAGGGGGAAAAAAAAAGCCCATTGAAAAGCCATCTGGTAGCTATTGCTGTTGTTAGTGATCCCATTTACTGACATTTGCATAAAGCTTGTTGATTACTCTTAGGAAGGGCAATATTAGCATAAATGTTTTTTTATCAAGCTAGTCATTTAGGCCCTGATCCGATATTCAGTAATGCAATGGAGATCCTGTGTGTATATGAGAAGTTCATTTAAACCACTGGTACTCTGCAACAATAAAAAGGTATGCCAGCACAGTTTCTGGAATGCACTTGAAACACTTAGCAGTATTTTTGTCATGTTGAAAAGGACTGACGTGCACAATTAAAACAATTAATTTTGCTTTGCTGAGAAAAAAGTAATGCAGCAAAATTTGTTTCTACTGCTTCTTTCCTCAGCTGTCAGAAACATTGATGGTAATGTAACAATATTAATTAATCAAACCTCATATAAATACTCACATCCACATTAGATTATGGAAATACTTTTCACTGCTTCTCTCTAACAAACAAGCTGTTTTCTTAGAAGGCAGAACCTGTTGTGTTCCAGAACTGCACACTCATAGAGGTTATTTCTATAATGGGAATTTGAACTGGATCAGGGAATGGGTTGAAGCACTGGTCTCCAGTACTGCCTAATTCTTCTGCCTTATTTCTAGCATATGTCAACTCATGTTCTGCAAGATAATGCTGGAACATACAACGGGAAATAATACAGACCAGAGACTGCTAATGCACAGGGTATATGGGGCCACCCTACATTGGAAAAACTGAACACTAACCCATTGTAATGCATCAGTATCATGACAGTGACTCTCAGGGCCAGTTTTGTGTTTATTAATATAGGTGTAGCAAAAAAGTATTTCCAGTGTTTAAGAACGAACACTGAATTTTTTTTTCTTCTTATTTTCTATTTTTATTTTTTACACGAGCAGATAGCATTTTTCTTTTAGGGAAAATGTTGGTCTTTTTCTAGTCAACATGTATACTTTTCAGATACAGAAATTCAAATGTTCATTTCAATGTAATTCATCATTTGCTTGACATGTAACTGGAATTCACTTAAGATACATAATTTCTAAGTAATTAGGATCACAATAGAAATAGTATTGATGCATTGAGGAGGATGTTAACGTTTAAACAGCCTAGACTAGAATACTGTCTCATGGCCCTTTTCCAAATGGAAGATACAGCTGAGCATAAATCTCTTCTCTCATCTGTGTTTTTTATAAGATGCACAATTGCTGGCCTTTGTGACTTCCACTGACATAGAAGTGTTTACTAAATGTAGCTGAGCACTATTTAGATGTGAAGTGTTGCTATTCATCAGTTCACAGACAATGTGTAAAAATGTAGTCTGAAGTTGAAAACTTTGTGTAAAAAAAAAAAAAAAAAAAAGCATTATAGAAAGAATATCAGTTTCACTTCATGGAGAGCCTTTATTTAATATGAATTGTGCAATACCTTCTGGCACACTGCCTTCTTTCCTCTCATCATTGACAGACTTCTGTCTCCTCTTTAGCCTGCGATCAGCTGTCCCTTGGGGTGGCTGCCATCTTTGGACCATCTCATAGCTCCTCAGCTAATGCTGTGCAATCCATCTGCAATGCTTTGGGTGTTCCACATATCCAGACCCGCTGGAAACATCAGGTGTCAGACAACAAGGACTCCTTCTATGTCAGTCTCTATCCAGACTTCTCTTCACTCAGCCGTGCCATCCTTGACCTTGTGCAGTTCTTCAAGTGGAAGACAGTTACTGTTGTTTACGATGACAGCACTGGTAAGGCTAAAGCGTTAGAGTATATGCAGATATACTCACATATACAAGTAGAAGGAGGAGTGGTGTCACTACAGTTACAGCTTTATTTTAAGAAAACTTAATCTAAATTACAAGAAATTCCATTGGCAGGGTAGTGTATAATAAATATATATTTGCATAACAAAATATATTTGTATATATATGTGTGTATAACAAAATGTAGATTCATTAGAGTAAGTATTCTCAAAAGTATGCTTCATTTTCTGAAATCTGCGTGTCTGGGCTTGCAGCTCTCAATAAATCAGTCATGTTCTATCTTTGTTTACCTCAGTATTTTAGCAGTTGCTAACAGCTATGTCTTTTTATTTTATTTAAAATTTAGATTTTGAAGAAAAATATGTTAACTTGAAAGATGTACTAGAATGCCTGGTCAAACAGAACAGTTAAATTCTATTGCTGCTTCTGGCATTAGCTAAGTTAGAAATCAGATGCTATGTGTGTTTAGAATTTCATTATCTTCATTTTCAGAGAGATTTGCAGAAGGAGCTCTGTTTTTGGCTGGTATGAGTTGAAAACAAAGTTTGGAGGTTTGTTTTGCAGATAATTCATATGAGTTAAAAATGAACTCCTGATTTTCCAGCAGAAATATACCAGTTTACTACCTTTCCCTTAAATTCACCTTAAAATTTCTATTTTGCCCTGAAAATGGCATTTGATTTGAAAAATCTTTTTAAAAACAAATCAAAAAAGGTAAGTCTGATTTGAAGTTTATTTAGTGGAGGTCAGAACTAAAAGCTGGTACAAGCTTTTATCTCCCAGTAGTGGAAGACACAAGGAAGCCACCCAGACAAATGAGATATATTTAATCTTCTTGGAAATGTTACAAACTTCTTCCATGCTTATTGAACTGACACTGACAAGAAAAAAATGAGCCTCAAACCAATAAATAGTTTATTGGGCTGGAAGATTGTTGATACTTTTGTTATGTAACAGTACCATCTATCTAAATCTGAAATACAAAAATGAAATTAAGGAAACATCAATATGTGTTACATGGTAAGGCTACATGTAGTGAGACTAACTCTGCTAGATAAACCAGTTACAGAAGGACAGAATGACTGCTTCCTATTTAAGTTCAAATAAGGTGTGTGTGTATCTAGCAAACAGTGAGAAGGGAACAGTCAAGATGGCAGTGCATAAAGCACTAACCAATTTATTTCTTCATGCCTTTAAAGAAAACAAAAACAAAAGCAGGTCAGTGAAGTTTAGAGGCTGCCTTTCTAAAAGTTTCTTGACTGAAGGTATCAAAAGCATAATCAAGCTTCTAATTTCAAGTTTATTTTTACAGACTTAAGGCAAGAAATATCGAGCTTATTTTATTATTTATTATTATATTATTATTATTTTTTATTTAAATATTTATTGTTTAATGGGCTCTCTAAAGTCCATGCTTTATGAAAGAGATATGTTGTTAAATTATCTGATCTTATAAAGAATGCTTCAAAGTCAGTTTATAAGTAGAAATAGGATTGAAGATGGAAATATCTTTTTTTTCCTTGTGTTTGCTGTGATCTACTTGATCTACCAGTGACTACTGTAAACATTAGAGAAAAAAGAGCATGAGATCTTTTTTAAAAATGTGTGTGGAGATTAAGAATGAATAAGGAACTTTAGGAATTTATTTATTTATTTTAAATAAGCATAAAGTATTATGTCCTGAAAATATTCACTTTATATTTATATTTTTTTCTTGAGTTTCCAGGCCCTTCATATTAAGATACTTGCTGTTAACAATAACCTGCTGATAACATTAGTCTCAGCTACGTCTTTTTTCTTGAAATATATTGCACTCTGAGGAGACAGAAAAAAAAATAAATATATAATCCTCTGTGTTTGTTTTTTTTTTTTTTTTTTTTTGTGGCTATTGCTGTAAGTAAAATTAAATTATACTTTTTAAGACTGTCAGTTTCTTTCTTTTTTTTTTTCTTTTTTATTTTTTTTAGTAGCATCCCCTTTGGACAACTCATAGATTTCAAAGACAGGACACACCGCTGGGAAGTTCATAGCAACATTCGCCTTTGAAGTACTTATGGAAACAACTCTTAGCTATGAGAAAGTGTCAGTCTTAAAGCAGAGTTTAAATCTTTTTATAGTTCAGCTGCAATTTTTTTTATTTTTTTTTTTTTGTGGGGGGGGTGAGTGGTGTGGAGGGAAGAAACCTTTTGAAAGGAAGTACTTCCTTCATCTGAGGAAGACACTAACTCCAGCCATGGGATAAGATGAAGCTGAGTTGTGAACCTGTGCCTGAAACTGAACATGATAGTTTTGTCTGAAACTGAGTATTTTAAGACTCCTTACGCCATTAAGAAATAATTTCAAATTCATTAAACCAAATACAATGAAGGCAAATCATTTATAACTTTATATGTTTCTTTCATTTGGCCAGTGATTTCTTAATATAAGATGGATATCATATTTTCACCTCCTTTGTTTGTCTTTTAGTCACCCACAGTTTATTCTCCTTTGGAAATGCTGTTTAGGGTGATAATGCATGCCTTGTTTTATGATAATTTTTGAGCTATGGATTTTCTTCTTCTGAATGGTCAGTTCCCAAAAGGACCCTGTTCAAGACAATCATATTTTGCTATAGCAGTAAAATTTGGACATTGTTGCTAATTGTTAATTTAGTGTGTGTGTGTGTGTGTGTCAAATTTACATTATTTATTCCTATTATTACTTTATAAATATGTATACAAGGAGAGATGGTACTTTAAATATAAGTAGAAAGCATGCATACATCTGGATTCTTCTCAAGATAACATTAAGTCAAGACTGAGGAGTTGCACACACGCCAAGTTCTTAGAAGACTGTAGGTCCATTCTGAGGAAAGATAAACAAGTTCTTCATTCCTTCAGTATTTGTTGAGCAACTGGAAAAAGCTGTGTGGTTATTTGACACTGCAATCAGTAAAAGCCCATGACACTCTAGTGTCATTCTCAGGAATGCACTGGAAACTGATAATTCAAGTGCACACTTCAACTGTTCTGACAGCACCATTGTGTCCTACTGCATGCATCTGCTGTAAATGTAATCTTATATGAAGGAAAGCCAGTTATGTGACTGTAACAGGATGAAGATAGTATAGAGCATGACAATCCGTGGTTAGAGCCCAGTTTGAAATAAAAGAGAAATTTGGAATCCCAGGCTCCCTTTACAACAGTGAACATCCACCCATCTAAGTGATTACTACAAAGAACATTTATTACTGGTTTGTTTTTTTCCCTAGTCAAAGTACTCTCCCTGTATTCTCTGTGGAGGAATCACTGTGTATCTTGCTACTAATTTAAGAAAAGCCATAAACAAGTCGCTTTTAATGCATAGATTGGACCCTAGGGGTATGAACTAGGTGCTTCTTTCAACTCTTCCCAGCTTTATTATGCAGAAATGGATAAGCCAGAGAAAGTTAATGTGTGGAGTCCAGTATGGTCAGAATATTGGGTTGTCTTGTGCTGATCAACCACGCCTCATTACAGGCTCCTGAAGCAGGAGCAGGAGAGGTAAGCTGGAAAGCACAGGAGAAACTGGAAGTGGTGTCCCGCTGAAATGGGGACAGAGATGCTTTTAAACAGATATGATCAGTAACCCTAGAGTGAGCAAAGATCTGGCTGAATACAGCATAATGAGAAAGAGTCGAGCCTCTACAAATAGGATGAAACAGATGAATAAGCTAGAAAGGTTAATTCTATCTTGTCTCAGTAGTGTTACAATTGGGATAAGGTAATGAAAATAAAAATGATCACAGAATATGCAAAGGCATTAATATAATGAAGATTTCTGTCTTGGTGCTATCTTAGGCCGTGAACATTGTGGCAGTTGGTAGATGAGCCTGTTTTTTCAGGGAAGAAAAAGGTTGTCTTCTTTTTCTGTGGATTTGTGTTTGAACACTACTGTACTGACTTTTTTTGCTTCAAATAATAGCTATGTTCTGCTTCCTTCTATGATTTGTTTCTCCCTTCATCTTAACTCTCATGAGACTTTTTTCATGTAGTCCATCTGTTGTACAGACTAAAAATTGGAATCAGGCTCATGAACATTTTTCTTGCTAGTCTAAAGATAAGTATTGTTTCCTGTGATCCATCTAAACTGCAAAGTACGTTCCTTTTAACTAGAATTTACCATAAAAGAACTGGCAGGATGTAACCAGAGGTTGGCTATTTTTATATTTTATTTATTTATTTTTGTTATTTTCTTAAAATAACTTATAGACTCTTTGTTAATTAAATACCACTAAACTGTCACTGGATGCTAATTAAATCATTTCAGTTTACAGATTTGCTACAGTCAATTGTCTTTAGGAAAGAAAAGGGGGAAAATGACAGTATATTCATCATCTGCGTGTCATAATGGTTTAAATTGGTCTCAAAGCAGTAATTTATCTTCTTCAAAATATTAAAATTTCAAGTACATGTTCCAATTTCTATGATAAACATAACAGAGTAGACAAATTCCAAATAAGTTTGTGAATCCCAGAGAACTCCAGAGCAAAGTATACGTGAATGGTTAGATTCTGGACCTTTTAAATTATGCTGGAACTTGTATTGGCAACTAATGATTTATACAGATTACGTTGATGTAAACAGGGTTCTGATTTTTTTTCTTAATTAACATTTGTTTTGGTCTTGGGTGAATGAGTATAAACACTAAAAATCTGTTGCATCTATGAACAGAAGCCTAAGCAAAAGCCAGAAAAAAATCACTTCAGAAATAAAAATGTTTTCTCTTGGTCTTCAGTATTGAAACAAGTGATTTAATTCAAATGAAAGAAAAAGATGCCATTTTGTTGATATTTTATAAATAAAACTAGAATTTTCTTATTGAGACCAGTATTAAAATGCAAATTTTTTATTTCTATATTTCATGTATCTTTTTTTCGGATATTTTGATTTTTTTCTTTTCTTCTTTGAAATTATTGTAAGTTTATACTAATAGAAATTACATATCTTAGGGAAAATGAGTGTATG